CTACAATCAAAGGAGGTTATTATGCACCATGAGATGTGTAAACTGGGGAGATCAGAGGAAGGAGAGATGAATTCCAAATGAAGGGCTTGAAGTAGGGCTCTTTATAAAAAGCGGCATCTGAATTGGTTCTTGAATAACTTAAATGTTTTAAGTACACTTAATAATTTAATTTCAATCTGACCTGGCTGAAATCAGACAACATGTATTCAAGCTTCTCTACTAAACCAGATGTTTATAATTTGCAACTCATTATTTATATTTGAGGCCTGGTATTGTCTAATTTGGCAAGCAGTGTACAGTAAGATTTTAAGTTTTAGGGTTGGATAGAACTGGCCTAAAGTCTTGGTCCATCTATTTAATACGTCCAGTTCCTAATACCACTATACTTCAAATTTCATTACCCATTTAATGGAGATAATAATAGTGCCTATTTTGTAATTTTTTTGTAAAAATTAAGTTTGAAAATGTATCAGAACATTAATATGAGTGGACACTTAGCAAAAAGTCATATTACCTTATGCATTACTAGTTGGTTTTCCTCAAGTAACTCAGAAGATGTTCAAGGAAGATGTGCCTCAAATACAAATCAAGGCCTGAAATTGGCAATATTTGCCCTTGTACTAGAGTTTAAGCCCACAGTCATCTTCAATATATTTTGTTTGTGTCTGACAACTAAATAGTACACTATATCTCTTCAATGGCTCTCTGTGAGTTTATTTTACTTAAATTTCACCAACTTCGTAGGATGATAGTTTAACTATTTGCAATGCTACCCATCACCCCACAGAACAAAGTCTTACTTGCAATTGACCTATAATTATAACTTGAATGACTCTAAGGCTGTACTCCAAACTGTTGTAAACTAATAACATAGGGGCCGGCACTATGGCATAGCAGGTAAAGCCGCCGCCTGCAGTGCCGGCATCCCATATGGGTGCTGGTTTGAGTCCCCACTGCTCCACTTCCAATTCAGCTCTCTGCTATGGCCCAGGAAAGCAGTGGAAAATGGCCTAATTTTTGGGCCCCCTGTACCCACGTGGGAGACCTGGAAGAAGCTCCTGGCTTCAGATTGGCACAGCTCTGGCCATTGTGGCCATCTGGGGAGTGAACCATCAAATGGAAAACCTCTTTCTACCTCTGCTTCTGCTTCTCTGTAACTCTGCCTTTCAAATAAATAAGTAAATCTTAAAAAAAAAAAAGTAAACTCATACCAGGGTTCTTATATGAAATACAACTGGCAAAAAGTTATTCAGAAACTATACTAAGCATTATCATGCTTTTTGATTCATTGATTGCATTTGAGTTATATGATCATATAACCAAAACATAATAAATGCTACAAATAGACACCCAGTCAATATTTACTGAAGAGAAAAGATTGTTCTATGGAAACAGCACTTTGTACTGTGGGCCAGGTGGCAAGAAATAAACCAGACTTGCACTGTGCTCTATGGTGGCCACTGGCCATGTGTGACTGGTGAGCAATGGCAATGCGAGATGTGCAGGAAGTATGAATTACACACCAGAATTTGAATACTTCATACACAAAAAAATAAAATTTCATTAATAATTTTATGTTGAGTACATGTTGAAATTATATTTTAGATAAATCAGACACAAGGGGAATTCAAAAACTTTGTGGAAAAACAGAATTAAAAGTTTATTTTGGTGCAATAAAATCCTGAAATGTATGCAGTTTTTCAGAATATACCTTTTCCATGAAATTTTTGCAGTACCCTTCTGTTAGTTAAAGTCGATGTATTTTAAAAATCAATGTGCCTGTTTCTTTTTACCTTTTTAATATGGCTACTTGAAAACTCAATTACATTTGTGGCTCATATTACATTTCTATTGATCAGCAGTGAACTGGAGTTAAGTCCCTCGTCTCGACCAAAAGCCAAAGGCTCGTCTTGAGCCCAGAGGGATGAAGAAGCATTTCTTGAGATCTGGAGGAATCTGACATCCAGGGGTCCAGAGATATGATCAGGATTACTGTACTACTACTTTCCCATCTCAGCAGGCAGAGGAGGAGAAATGCATTCTGCTAGGAAGACTCTTGGATGCCTCACAGAGAGATGCTAGTTTAAGTTCAGGTGTCTTGAGGGCACATGCCCCAGCAGGAAGCTAACCCAGTGTTCTCTCATGATTCATGTACTACTGTGACAAATATTCTATATCTACTGATGGCAAATAACTTCGTACTACTCAAAGATTTTTTTAAAACTTCACCTTATAGGATGCTGCATATTTTGTTGAAAAGAAGAAACTAAGATGTATCTGGAAACTGGCTGACCTTACCAATTTCAAGAGAAACTGAACAAAACAAAGCTCTGGGCAGGTGTCTAGCCTGGTGGTTAAGGCACCTGCATCCCATATTGGAATACCTGGGTTCAATACTGATCTGGCTCCTCACTCCAGGTTTGTGCTAATGCAGATTCCAGGGGGCAGCAAGTGATGGCTCAAGAGACTGGGTTCTTGCCACCCACGTGGGAGAGCTGGGCTGTGTTCCCAGCTCCTGGCTTCAGCCATAGTGGATTCGGACAAGCAGGTAGTAAACCAGCAAATGCGAGCGCGCTCTCCCTCTCTCTCTCCCTCTGTGTGTGTGTGTGTGTGTGTGTGTATGTGTGTATCTCCTAAATAATTTTTTTTAAAGCTGCAACAAAAAATAAAGTTCTAATTGTTAAGTACCTGCCTCATCTCTTCCTGGACACTCCATACAACCCTGTATTTAGGTCATCATGCAGAATTCAGCCTTCCAAGCCAAGTGGCCAATCATGGGCAGAGAACAGGAAGCTACATCCAGCTCTGAATATCAGGCACAATCTTGATGTAGCACTTGACAGCTACAGAGTGAAAAGCACAGGGCCCCAGGTCTGATCAATGCTTAAAATACAAGAAAGCTTTTTTATGAAGGAGGAGAACACACACCCAAGTGTGGCCACAAAATCATAAATTTTATTACCTAATTTGCAAATGGAATACTCCATTAATCAGGAGGGAACTGTTTTTAATAAGTTATAAATTATCCCAGTGTAAGATATCTGTCCATGTGCTCTTCAAGAAAACAAAACTGAGGCTGTCATAGGACACAACCACACACAAAAAAGGCAGCTAGTATTTGTGTTGATACTAAAAATACTTTCATATCTAATTTGAATCATCAGATCCTATAAATGAGCTAAAGGAGAAATTCTTAGATGAGGGATACCAATTTATCTCTAGCAAGTGACTACAACGAGAATCAAAATTCAAGTGTCTTGAGTACAAACTGCATTTGGAAATGATCCCATCAGGTAGATAGACTGATGAAATCTACATCAGTGCTGACATTTCAGTACTTGGAAGACCTGATGGACTTTAGGTTGGAAATTCATGCTAGGCTGGATATGACTATGAAATCTCACGAAGAGCGGTGTGGGGAAAAAAAAATGAATGATTTTATTTGTAAATACCTTTTAGAGCCGGCGCCGCGGCTCACTAGGCTAATCCTCCACCTAGCAGCACCGGCACACCGGGTTCTAGTCCCGGTCGGGGCGCCGGATTCTGTCCCGGTTGCCCCCTTCCAGGCCAGCTCTCTGCTGTAGCCAGGGAGTGCAGTGGAGGATGGCCCAAGTACTTGGGCCCTGCACCCCATGGGAGACCAGCAGAACTACCTGGCTCCTGCCATCGGATCAGCGCGGTGCGCCGGCCAGCGGCCACTGGAGGGTGAACCAACAGCAAAGAAGACCTTTCTCTCTGTCTCTCTCACTGTCCACTCTGTCAAAAAAAAAAAGACCTAAATTTGTAAATACCTTTTAGTTTTTCATTACAAAAGTAATACATGTTCACTGTCAAAACACAAACTAGAATAGTTGAGTATGTAGAACTTCACAAGCCAGGGAAAACCACTATAAAGATGCAGTAACTATTGACAGGCATGCAAAGGTGATCTTTGATGTATTTAGTAGCCAGCAAGGCACACCAGAACCAGGAGACAGTCCTTACAGAGGCCACCTTAGACATGGGCATGCCTGAAGCAATGGGGACAGGTGCCACAGCTATTCTGGACGCATGCCCGCCATGTTTTTAATGAAATTGTACCATCTTGCAGATTTATAATCTCCTTTTTAAAATTTACAATGAATTTTCAACATCGCCTAAATCCTACTTCAATTTTTCTGTTCATATAACATCTTCATTGGAGTACAGGTGTCGTCCCCTTTCTGGAAAAAGAAAACCTGAGGTTCATAGCAGCCTTGCTTATCACACATTCCACATGGATGCACTGCCCATCTCTACTTCAAAAGTGCTGAAAGTAAAGTGCAAGGTGAAGAAGAGTAAGAAAAGCTACAGTGCTACACTTAGGATCTTAAAAAAAAAAGCAAGCAAGCCAGTAACAGCACTTGGCTCTGCATGAAAACACCGTCAATGGAGCAACTCGGCTCATTATTCCAAAGGTGGTGAGGAGGAGAATTGTTGGTTTCATTGCTTTGTTATTTGAAGCTCCATTACAGGTTCTGCTAAATAACCTTTCTTGAAACAAGCCCTTGGTTACTCTATCAATATACCTCGAATAAATTCAACCATAAAACTGATTAAAGGTGGTGTCAGTCTCTCCACTGCTTGGTACATAATATCTGACTTCTTCTCCCAATGGCCTCTTTAGACATCACTTACAATCATCTCCATTTTAAGGATTTGGGAATTAAGACTTGGAGACATTAATTAGCTTGCTTAAGTTTATACAACAGATTTATCTGACTTCAATGGCCATGCTCTTAACACTACATTGTGTTGCCTTTGGAATATTAATGATAGAAGAATAGTCACCAAATATATCAAGTTAAATAAGCACGGCTCCGATCCTATCAACCGTGCTTCTGCCCATGGTTACGTAGGACTAGGAGTAAGCTGAACTCTCCTTCCTGATGAAGGTCTTTCTACTCATGATTCCCTCTACACGAAATGTCGTCTCACCATTCTTATAAAGACAACAGATCTCAATCTCAATATCTCACCATAAATGTTACTTATCTAAAGGATGGCCTGGCCATCCATTCTAGCATATTCTCTCTCACAATGCTCTGCCCTCTCTTTTAAAATGTGAATGAATAAAGCAATTTTGGAGCAATCAAAACAAAATAATACTCTACATATAAAAATACACTTACACAGCACCAAATACACTCACACACACATAAACCTCCATCTGAAGCCTGGAACAAAATACAAAAAGTAAAAGAAGGTCAGTGGGCGCCTCTGCGCTCACGGGAAGATGGCCGAGCCGGCATCCAAGTCGGTGCTGTTTGTGTGTCTGGGTAACATTTGCCGGTCACCCATTGCAGAAGCAGTTTTCAGAAAACTCTTGACTGATCAGAACGTTTCAGACAATTGGGGGATAGACAGTGCGGCCACATCCACCTATGAGATAGGAAACCCCCCTGACTATCGCGGGCAGGAGTGCATGTGGAGGCATGGTGTGCCCATGAGCCACATGGCCCAGCAGGTCACCAAGGAAGACTTTGCCACCTTTGACTACATACTATGTATGGATGAAAGCAACCTGAGAGATTTGAATAGAAAAAGTAATCAAGTTAAAAACTGCAAAGCTAAAATTGAACTACTTGGGAGCTATGATCCACCAAAACAACTCATTATTGAAGATCCCTATTATGGGAATGACGTGGACTTCGAGGCTGTATACCAGCAGTGTGTGCGGTGCTGCAGGGCCTTCCTGGAGAAAGCCCACTAGGGTTGGGCAGTCCCCGCCGGCTGCTGCATGCTCAGATGCCGGAATGTTCCCCAGGCCTCACGTGTGTCTTCCGTTGACTGTTTATCTTAAACAATAATTGTTGATGGAAATCAGTTGTACATGCAGAAAAATAAATAAAAATCTTAAGCCTTAAAAAAAAAAGTAAAAGAAAACAGTAAAGAAAAATAAACAAAACCCCAAGATTTATTAGTGACTTTTTTTCTGGTGAACAGAATTAGAAATTTTCTACTTTTCTCCTTGCCTGTACTTCTTATTTACTTTTTGTTTGTTTGTTTGAAAGGCTGAACAAAAGAATTACAGGCAGACAGAAAGCTCCTATCTACTGGTTCACACCCAAAATGCCTGTGACAGCCAGGGTTGAGTTAGGCAAAAGTCAGGAGCAGACTCCATCAAATTCTCCTTTGTGAATGGCAGGGATCCAATTACTTGGCTTGTCACCACTGCATCCCAGGGTCTGCTTTAGTAGGAATAACAGAGTCAAGAGTTGGAGCCAGCAATCAACCCAGGCCCTCAAATGTGTTATGCAGGCACCTTTAAAAAAATGTATTAGAAACTCAGATTTACAAAGAGAGGGGCAGAAGGAGTGGGGAAAGGAGGGAGACAGAGAGAGAGAGAGATATTCCATCCACTGGTTCACTCCCTAGATGGCCTCAACAGACAGGAATGGGCCAGGCCAAAGCCAGAAGCTTCTGCCAGGTTTTCTACATCAGTGGCAGGGGTCCAAACACTTGACCCATCTACCACTGCTTATCCCAGGCCATTAGCAGGGAGCTGGATCAAAAGTGGAGCAGCCAGAATCCAAGCCAGCACCCACATGGGACGCCAGCATTGCAATGTGACAGCTTTACCTACTATGCCATAACACCAGCATCTTAACTGCTAGGTCAAATGCCTGTACTCTTTAATATTTGATGGTTCACAATTACTACTCTTATAGTATATTTCAAAAGCATAATGGCAATTCTAAAATAAGTACTAACAATCTTTTACTTTTTTGCAAGAAACATCTTTCACTTGAGCAGATGCTGTTCTTGTTTAGGTTCCTTCTATGGGAGAGATCCAAAGTATTTCAGAGATTAACTGTACTGTCCTCATTTTTCATAGGATCATTTTTTGTGGTGGTGGTGGTAAAAGGCTGGAGGCAGAAAGAATAGTTGTCACAATAACAAGTATAAGAATAAGCAGAGCAGGAAGAAATGCCCTGATTGGCTGGCACCGCGGCTCACTTGGCTAATCCTCCGCCTGCGGCGCCAGCACCCTGGGGTTCTGGTCCCGGTTGGGGAGCCGGATTCTGTCCTGGTTGCTCCTCTTCCAGGCCAGCTCTCTGCTGTGGCCCAGAAAGGCAGTGAAAGATGGCCCAAGTGCTTGGGCCCTGCACCCGCATGGGAGACCAGGAGGAAGCACATGGCTCCTGGCTTCGGATCGTTACAGTGTGCCGACCATAGCGACCATTTGGGGGTGAACCAACGGCAAAAGGAAGACCTTTCTCTCTGTCTCTCTCTCTCTCTCTCACTGTATAACTCTGCCTGTCAAAAAAAATAAAGAAAAAAAAAAGAAATGCCCTGATTATCTCATGATTCAAACAAAAAACAAGCAAGTCTGAGCAAAAGCATGAAGACACCTGGAAACCAACACCCCAAGGAGCAACAAATGAGACTGCCTCCCCACCGCAAACCCTCTTCTGGTCCCAAATCACAGAAGAGAGATGCTACAGAAAAGGCATTTCTACTCTGTGGGTCAACAGCTGCTGAAAGATGAAAGCTTCCTGGGATTCTGTGAGGCCAAGGAACACCAAAAGAGGCAAAGGTGGTTCTGGGTTAACTCCCAGGATTTGCACTCCAGCAAGCTTCAAAATCTATAAGTGCTTTACCTGTAAATAGCATTTTAAATATTCATTATTCAATTAAAAATAAGTGAATTCTCCAGTGGCAGACTGGGACAATTTGCAGTTATCTGGCCAAATGCCAAAGTAAATTGTAGGTTTTGCTGATAAAGATGGTGAAATAAGGTTCAAAAATGAGACGTGTCCTGAACCGAACTGATGGAAATGAAATGGGTACAACACTGGCAACTTTTAAAAAAATGCTGTAACAAAGTTTCGTGTATTTTAAGTATAAATTACACTGAGTTACATGGCTTTACTTGAAGGGGAAACTTTAGGAGGAAATTGTAAAGTCTGAAGGAAAAGCTTAATTGTGCTCACCTGTTCCCATCTCTTAGCGAACCAAGAGAGTGTGGAGTTCGTATGAGCACAGCACTGCAGGTCCGTGCTACCCAAGCAGGAGGAGGAAGGCTTCCTACACAAACAGGCAAGATGCTAGATTTCTCTTCTGGTCTAAGAATTTTTATCACTGTTAAAAAAAAATGTAAAGCAGAACATTCTGGGGCTTTCCACAGATTCTCTTTAATGCATGCTGCTTGGTTTGGAATGAGTGCTGATCCAGTTTTCTGAAGAACTTTTTCTTGGTACACTACTGAGTATTCAGGACTCTAGCCTTCCAAGGATCAGTGTGAGGTCACCATTGTTGAAGAGATTGAGGGTGCTGTGCCATTTTCGACACACCTTCCTGCCATGGGGTGCCTTTCTCTCTCTCAGTCACTGAGAGTTACAACTGGAAGCAGAAAGGACCATCTCCTGGGGAGTCCGGTGGGTGAACAAGTAAAAAGGACCCAGCAAAAGTAATTCGCCCTCAGTCACCAACTGCCTCAGTCACCAGAAGTCATCCTACAGGATTCCAGAGTAAATTTTGACCTCAAAAATGCTGATTCAGAAAACTCTTTGACCACAAAATTTACTCCACTAATCAGAAATTTCTGATATTTTAAGAAATTGCAGAATAGGGACTTTTCAGTATACAACAGTACAAAGATCACTCTTTCAAGATAAATTTTAGAGCAAGGGGAAGAACGGATACAATTTCAGGGCCACTGAACAGCACAACAGAACATGCAAGATTTGTTATATGAACTAAGGGGAAGAGAAGGTGATTCTGGAGATTGACTACAAAACAATCATGCATGTTTTGGGGCCAGTGAAATGGCATCCTAGGTTAAGCCTTAGCCTGCAGCACCAGCATCTCATATAGGCGCCAGTTTGAGTCCTGGCTGTTCCACTTCTGATTCAGATCCCTGCTAATGGCCTGGGAAAACAGCGGAGGATGGTCCAAGTGCTTGAGCCTCTGCACCCATATACAGAAAAGAAGCTCCTGGCTCCTGGCTTTGGATAGGCCCAGCTCCAGCCACTGTGGCCATTTGGGGAGTGAACCAGCAATGGAAGACCTCTCTCTCTCTCTCTCTCTCTCTATCTCTATCTCTATCTCTATCTCTATCTCTATCTCACTGCTTCTCAAATAAATAAATCTTTAAAAAAGAAGAATCATGCCTATTACCTTTAAAGGTTTTATTATCTTTCTTGTTTTGATTAGAAGTACCTTTTATTTAAATATTTTATTGCTCCCTAAGAAACTGACAGTGCTTTGGAGACATAAATCCTGTCTTCCTCTCTCAAGAGAGAAGCATCTGCATTGGCATCCTGTGGGTAAAACTAACCCTCTCTTCTCTCATGTCTCAAAGAGCTCTTAAGTCATTGCCAGTAGGCCATTGTTCCTTATGGTGTAATGACTCATGTGCCAAGAACCATTCACAGGTTTGCAGCCAAATTGGAATCAATGAGCAACAAGCATTTCTGCTACAACCAACTGCATGTTTTGTGAGATGGAATCCTGGACCAGGTGGCTCAAATGGAGCAGGTAAAACACCCTCCAATCTTCAGGTATGGTGCAGCCAAAGCTCTGTTCCTTGGATGTGGGTCAATTCTGCTTTGGGAGTCTGTGTGGTGTTGAGCAAGGGCAACAGACTATCCATTCCAACCTGCTACCAAATGAATGCAAGTTTGCAATGGAGCTATACAGATCCCTGAATGGCACAGTCACAGCCACTTGGAATTATCTCTTATTTGTTTTTTTTTGTTTGTTTGTTTGTTTGACAGGCAGAGTGGACAGTGAGAGAGACAGAGAGAAAGGTCTTCCTTTTGCTGTTGGTTCACCCCCCAATGGCTGCTGTGGCCAGCACACCGCGCTGATCCGAAGCCAGGAGCCAGATGCTTCCTCCTGGTCTCCCATGCGGGTGCAGGGCCCAAGCACTTGGGCCATCCTCCACTGCACTCCCGGGCCACAGCAGAGAGCTGGCCTGGAAGAGGGGCAACCGGGACAGAATCCGGCGCCCCGACCAGGACTAGAACCTGGTGTGTGGGCACCGCAGGTGGAGGATTAGCCTATTGAGCCGCAGCGCCGGCTCTTATTTATCTTAATTTACTGACTTTACATTTCCTCCTCCAAATTTTTTAGTCTTGCAAACATCCCTAAGCATTCAAAGGTGAAAACTACGAGGCTAACCATCCGTGAGACACTGTTCTGTAAACTGCCTCATCTCAAGGCAGAGTCTGTAAGGGCCCAGACCCTCTTCAGTTCCTGCTGGCCATGGGGGCATGTTGGAGGGTATCTTCTCAGAGTGAATCAACCCAGAAACCTATTATGCCTGACTTTCAGCTAGTCACCTTGCCGTGGCAGTACCCCTGCATCAACAACCCTAACATCCTCACTGGCTTCCACCAAGATCATCATCCCATCCCCAACCCCACCAGCATTACCACCTCTCATGCCTGGTATTGAATGGTACCCCAAAAAAATTCATGGCCACTCAGAACCCATAAAGGTGGCCTTATTTGTAAACAGCGTCTTTGCAGATGTAATGAAGATGAGGTCATACTGGAACACAGTGTGCCCTAAACTCAATATGACTCGTGTCCTTATAAGAAGAGGGAAATGAGGATAGAGAAATGTAGACACACAAGGAAAAAGCCCTATGAACAAGGCAGGAGAGACCTGAGCGACAAATCTATCAATCAATTCTTCCAATAATTGCAGTCAGCCATGAGAAGCTGGAAGAGACAAGAAGGAATCGCTCCCAGAGATTTCAGAGGGAGCACGAACACGCCAACCTCTTGAACAACTGACCTCCGTACTGTGAGAAAACCAATTCCTGTTGTTTAA